ACCATGGAATAGTTAGGAATGAGACTGGGATAAACACATAAGAAACAGAAAAACAAGAAAGGCAGCATCTTCATTTCAGAGTATCTCAAGTCATCACAGTAAGTTTCCTTTAGAAGCCAGAATAATATCACAGTTGTCAAATAACAGCAGCTTAATATAATGTGTAATGAATACATTAGTTCACAGTCTATATGACTGACAAAAATCTGGAAGAATGTATGTCAAAATGATAATGGGAATTATCTTTGGATGATAAAGTTATGCAGTGTTAAATTACATACTTTTATAGTCAGAAAAAATGAGGCTATTTTCACTTAATAAAACAAATTAAAACTGTATTCATAAAGGTAAATTCAGGCTTTCCTAAACATACTGCCAGAGGAACTAAGACAAATCCAATTGAGACCAGAAAAGCTAAAGTCATCATGAACAATCTATCGTGCTTTCTAAGTTTATCTCACAATTTCTGTTTCTATTGAGAAAAAAAATGCTGGGGCAGCATTTCTGTGACCACAGCTCTGAACTTACGTGAGACTCTGATTCCCTGGAAAGCAACTCATGCAAGCGCACTGTTGGAAGTCAGCCAGGATGTCGCACATTTTAGAGTGGGCTGTCGAATTTCACACAAAGCCCGAAGGTATAGCTTACATTTCCAATATGGTGTTTGTTATACCGAGGGTTCTGCATTAATATTTACAAAAGAAAACGTAATCCATCTACTCTTTGAGGTGGCAAAGATTACTCACCTCCACCCTCTCATACACAACTTCTACTATCTATAAGAGAAGTTTCAGTGGGGAGCATTTCTCAGCTGCCCATGCTTTCGGTTATTTTCTGGCCAATCTGAAAGCCACACGAACATTTCTTTAAAAGGTGAGGGATTTTACTATCTTTCCAATCCTTTCTTCCTTCTTGTTTCCCAAAAAGCAGTCGTGATGAACACTTCAGCTCCTGTAATTTTAGCCATCTAATACAGCTGCTGAAAACTATGCTCTTCTGTTTTCAAAACTGATGGTGCAACAAGTGAATTACCTTTTCCTGGGATGGTCAGTATAAATACTTTGTCTGTTTAAGGACTCCCTCTGAAATCAGGAGTATTTTATATGCTGCTCCCTTACCTGCTAGAAAGTTGACACACTCACTTATTATTTTAAAGCCTTAGAAATGTTATGATTGAAAAATCAAGGTAAAAACTTGATGCAGAGGAAACACTTTCACATTTTCAAGTTCTCTCTCTCCTGCGTGCAGCATATAAAGTACCAGCCTAATTTCTGTGGCTGGTAAAACAATAACAGAGCTAAATGTTAGTAGGCAAACCCATTATAACAGTACTCCAGAGCCTATGGGGCTGTTGGAACTATTGAAGATTTTAATCTTTTTGTGAAATGCTCCCAAAGAAATTGCAATCAATAGTTAGTGCACTTATTTTCTTGTAGAGAGATTGCTCATATTTATGTAGTTCTTCAGGCATCAAGGAATAATAAATGGAAATCAATTAATAGAATAGGGTTTTGAAAAGTATAAATACTAATAAAATATAGGACCATATTGTAGGGATCTCTGGCAATAACAGTACCATTGGTACAACACAATTATACTACTTTTTCCTTGAAAATGTTTTGCGATTTTTTTCTGCTGATATTGGTATAATTTAAGCACACAATAATGTCACAAAAGTAGTAATGTCCAGTCCTCTCTCAGTGTTCCTTACACTAATGATGAATAGATGTACTGACATTGAACCAAATTTCTGATTTTCCTAGATTACTTTAAATAGGGTGCATTATTTGGTTTGAGGGGTAGAAAAAGCAGCAGATTTAAATTCCTAATTATGTTTTTCTGAGGCTAATAGTAATATTAATTAGCATTCCAGTTGTGTCATAGGGAAGATGACTGTAGAATTTAAATTTGTCACTGTTTAACCACAGGCAAATTAAGTAAATTTTTCCATGTACATTACTCTTCATGTGGAAATACATTTTAAATTTCCCCTGAGTAGAAAAAAACTTGCAAAAGTAACTTATATTTGAATAGTTTAAATCTTTCATTTTCCAATCCATCTTATAGCAGATGGAAACCAAAAATTATATAGCTAGTAAGAGTTCTTAATCCCCCCATCTAATAATCTTTTCTCAGCAAAAACTTTACCCAGATACCATCAGCTCCTACATCTACATAATTAAATGTCGATTAATTTTAAAGTGTGTCTGACACTCTGCCATAACATTATATTAGCTGTTCCCTGGTGTACCTCTTGCTAAGGCCTCCATAACAAAGTACGGCAGACTGGATGGTGTATACCACAGAAATCTGTTTCCCCACAATTCTAGAGGCCAGTGTCTGAGACCAAAGTGTCAGGGAGTTGGTGTCTTCCAAAAGCTGTCCTCTTGGCTCGCGGCTTCTTTATCTGTGTTTGTGTCCTAACCTCTTTGTATAAAGGGCGCTAGGTGGACAGGATGAGAACCACCCTCTCTTCTTTTTGTCTTAGTTGTCCCTTGAAATGTCCTGCCTCCAAATGCAGTCATATTCTGTGGTAGTGGAGTTTACAGCTTCCCCATATGAATTTAGGATATGCTCTCAAGTCCATAAGACCTAGAAAATGTAGTTTCCTTTTCCTTTTATCACACAGGTTCCAAACAATTTCAATACTAAAACCGCAGAGCTCGTCGTCTTCATTAGGAGTTGAGGTCTGGGGGAGCATGCTGCCCAGCCTCTTTGGAGTACACAGCACTTCTAAAAGTTCTTTTCCTCACAACACTTCACCAGAGCCTCAAAGTAAATTTATGCAGCAAATATCATTATCACATACACAAAATAGATGAGAAACAGAGGACTATGATGTTAAAAAGCAAGCATAGGATACACAGGGATTCACAAAGCCAGTACTCAAGCTAAGTCATTAAACATCACCCCACCTTCCTAGCTAAATTGCTTTCTTTCCTTTTCTTCCTTCTTTTTCTTTCTTTCTGTCTTCTGTTATTCTGTTCTTATTTGGAGGATGGGGGTAGGGGAGGGTGTTCTATTAATTTTTTGTTTATTCAAATGCTATTAAGTCAAAGAGAATTGGTTTTCAGTGATATAGATGAAGACACTAATATTTTTTTTT